CATGGAGTTTGTGTGTTCTCTCTGTGCATGTGTGGGTTCTCTCCGGGTACTCTGGCTTCCTCCCACAGTCCAAAAACATGACTGTTAGGTTAAATGGCTTCCCTAAATTCTCCTTAAGTGTGAGGGTGAGCATGAATGGTTGTCTCTATGTTGCCCTGCGATGGACTGGCGACTTGTCCAGGGTGTACCCTGCCTCTCGCCCATAAACAGCTGCACTCCTTGCGACCCCGCTTGGGATAAAGCGTGACAGAAAATGGATGTATGGATTGATGTTGACAACAAAACTAAATTCTTAATTTTTGGTAATTGAGACAATGGTGAGAACATGAAATTATATTTAATAGGATTAAAAAATGTTTGTTTGGCATCACTAGTAACAGTGTGTGTCCTATTTATTCCGCAATTTCAGCCACTTTGTACCCTTTAGAAGAACAAATGCACCTATTTTACTATATGACATCATATGCCTTATTTTGCTCTGGTGAGCTGGATAAATGGTGTGCCAGGCCAGATTTGGTCTGCAGGCCTCAATTTGGCAGATAAATCTTAGATGTTGACAGTAAGGTGGTCATATAAAAGCTCTTCATGCAGAAAAAGGTGGCTGGCAGTAGGTTTGCAATTGACATGAATGACTGGAACAATGGCGGATATTTCTAAGAAGAGGTTTAATGATGGATGTTTTGAAGTTAGTCACAGACTATGAGAACAGAAACAATCTTAAGAGAAGAAATGGCATCCTCTTATCACTAGTCTTAAAAACTTAAAGAGTGACACTTAAAATCAATAAATTTCAAAAGAGGGATTTTGCATCCTCATGCTGACACCTAATGGTCAAACTTTACAAAGTACAGATTTAATATTAGATTCCAGACTACTGGTGAATCAAATACACTTTCTCTTCAGCGCATTTTAAATAATAAAAAAGCTTTTGCCTGATTCTGCGATAGTCTGGATTTAAAAATGGAGACAGGCCAGAGTTGTCTCTTCTTTCAGAGAGTATGGGAAGGCTGCCTGACAAGTGTGTAACTGTAACTTCCATTTCAGGTCCATTTCAGCTTACTTGAAGTATTTTTTTTTTATTATTGTTTTTCTCTGACAGTGATCTAAGCTGGAACATGATCGAATGGATCCACCCAGATGCCTTCGCCTCTCTTCACTCTTTGATTAAACTGTGAGCAACAACAGATACACATCTCTCACTTAGCCTGTCATAGATTTTAACTTATCTCTATGCTGTACCTTCTCACTTAAATGAGTGACAAGGCTTTGTATCAGAAAATATCAGAATGTAAGAAATGTGGGCTTAAACACTAAAGGTTCAGTCAAGATTTTAGTCTTGATGAATGTGTAGGCAAGAGTTGTGCCAACTTGAAATTGTATCATCTGGGTGGAGATTGGAGTTTGGTTACATAATCTGATAGTATGTACTATCCAGAGATAATTTGCTAACATGTCAAAACAGGTTAAAATATCAAAGAGATTGAATTTTATCCATTCTGAGTACTTTGCGTGCATAACACTTTGCTTTTTGTTTTTTATTTTGATATAGGGACCTGAGTGAAAACCGTCTCAAGTTTTTACCAGTCACAGGTTTGGGTGGCCTTACCCATCTAAAGCTGAGGGGGAACAAAGAATTATATGAGGCATTTAGTGCTGATCACTTCCCACATATGAGGTAATCAACAAACACGTCATCTATATGAGTAAATGTTTTAGATAATTTTCACTAACATGACCTATAATAGAAAATGCTGCATGTGTGAATACGTCACCCGACTGCTGAAATACAAAGTCATTCTTAAATTCACTTTAGATAATATAAATGCATGTTAAGTAACAAGCCAACATTTGTTCCCATATATCTTGAAGGTATGTTTTGTTATAAGTTGATGAATGAAACTTAAAAAAATAAAACACAATTAAGGTACAAAGCAACACCTATCTGGTGTAACTGTTGTACTTTGCTTAAATACCACCTGTTTTGGTATTTGCTTTGAGCTGATAATACTGTTTCCGATCTACTACAGGGTGATAGAGATGCCTTATGCGTACCAGTGCTGTGTGTACGACTCCTGTAAGAGCTACAAGCCCACCAAACAGTGGGACTCAGAGCTTAGCAACACCAATGAAGACCTACACAAGAGAACAGTCGCCATGTACCCCATCCATACAGACACTAACTGTAAGATTAAAATCTTTGCTCATCTGACACTTTATAAAGTCACTATATATCAGTATGTCATCAAAACTACATGTATTTGGTACCTGGTTTAATTCCTCATACACATTAAACATACCATGCTTTCCTACAGACATTCTTTTCTTGTTGCTTCATTAACACACATAAACATGAATGCAATCAAAACCCCCAGAAAATATATACTTAACTGAGTGAACACTTTACTATTTTGGTTAATATAATTGTGCTGCACCTTAAATGATCAGCAACCACGAAGTGATAATGGACTTGCATGAATGCCATTTAGTATCTAAAAATGTTAAGTAAGGATATATTATGTTAGCACATTATCTAAGATATAAAATATGTAAATATAATATGGTCTCTCATTCGTTTTTGACTCATCAAAAATTGTATGTTCTAGATGACCCAGATCTGGAGGAGTTCCAGTTAGAAATAGAAGAATCCAAGTTACAGAGCAGTGTCCAATGCACCCCCATGCCTGGTAAGTGAAGTCACAGATTAGATTTAGTAAGGTTTTAACTTTAAGCTCAGGTGAGTAAGTATTGACAGAAGGTTTTTGTTTACGTTGCAGGTCCATTCCGTCCCTGTGAATCCCTTCTGGGCAGCTGGCTAGTCCGCATTGGCTTGTGGTCCATCTCTCTGGTGTCTCTTCTTGGAAACGCCATCCTGCTCCTGTCTCTCTTCGGATCATCGGGCAGCCTGTCACCTCTCCGCTTCATCGTGGCCTGTATGGGCGCTTCCAACCTGCTGATGGGGTTGTGTACATGTACATTGGTCCTTGTGGACGCTCTCACTTTGGGAGAATTCAGTGACCACGGAGCCCGATGGGAGGGGGGACCTGGTTGTCAGGCAACAGGATGGATTTGGGTGTTTGCGTCGGAGGCCAGCGTGCTGCTACTGACTCTGGCGGCGGTGCAGTGTGGTGTGAGCGTGACATGTGCACGCACTTACAGGAAATCTCCATCCCTTGGCAGTGTGCGCACATGTGCATGTTTTTGTCTCACCCTCTCCCTCACATTTGCTTCACTCCCACTGGTTGGAGTGGGGGAGTACGGATCTTCACCCTTCTGCCTTCCTTCTCCCCTGCCAACATCATCATCGCGCTTGCCATCCTCCCTGGGCTTCTCCTTGGCTCTCATTATGATGAACACCATTTGTTTGCTCATAGTCACAGGGTCATACATCCGCCTGTACTGGGAGTTACTTCGGGGGGAGTGTGAAGGCTTGTGGGACTGTGCTATGATCAAACATGTTGCCTGGCTGATCTTCAGTAATGGTCTCCTCTACATACCTGTTGCTTTCCTGTCTCTTTGTTCCCTTTTGGGTCTTCTCTCTTTGGGCGAAGAAGTTCTTAAATCAGTTCTTCTTCTCCTACAGCCACTCCCTGCTTGCCTCAACCCTCTGCTGTTTCTCCTTTTCACAAGAGATCACTCTCAGTTGTTCTCCTGGTCTCGTCCTAAAGCTCGCCCACAACTGCGCCGGGACCGCACCTTAGACTCATTGGTTTCTGTGGAGACGGAAAAGAGCTCCTGCTCAGATTCATCAACACAGGTGTCACTGACTGATGCCACATACACTGCAGGGTCCTCTTCTCAGCCTGGAATGTATACAATCAGGTTTTCCCAGTGCTCCTCTACATCCTCTGTTCACCTCATCCCTTGCCAAGTACCAACCGTGACAGTTCGAGAAAGGGTGACAGAATGAGGGATCATGGAGTCTGGATCAAGATGTGATTCTTATATTTTTTCTCTCTGTGCTATGCTACAATGACTCACCTTATATCAACAAGGCCCGAAAAACAGCCTTACTGAAAACGTGGCGGAAAGAAATGGACATCCAAGGACCATATCACTGCTATGTTTATGGGCCATCTACCTATAAACTTTTGAGAATAAGTCAACTAAATATGTTGACTACAAAAGTGACAAGTGAACCCTCTTTATGAACAGAGATCTGTAAGTTGCCTTTTTTGGCAGTATTCTAGAACTAAAGGAGAATTGCAGAGTATCTAGCGGAGTCAATCAACAACATTTTTATGATCAGAATACAAAAAAAGCAGTTAATTACATTGAAAACATGAGGCATATTAAGAGTTTACCCTACGGTAATGTTTATACTGAAATGTGATGTGAAATGAGGCTCCAAAGTTGCATAATCTTTAAGTGGAGATTTTTTTTTTCTTTTTTTAATCTAATTCTATTGTAACTATTTCATGGAACATGAGACATGTCTTGTCCAGAGCAATTTTACTGCCATATAAAAGGTTTTGCAGCTGTGTAATACAAATGTTCCAAAAATGCTGTTCTTTAGGTGAAAAGTGATGCAAAATATTCTGGGCCACACATGTAGTTTTATATGGTTTACTAAATGACTTTGCTGAAACAATGCAGTTTTGTCCAACAAAGCGTTAAACAATCTTATGGATTGAATGGGATATAGCTGTATTCCTGCCAACCTTAGAGTAGGCTATTGATCTCTGTATACATACAATGTAACTACCTCTAAACTATGGTATTGACTCACTACAGCCTTAATGTCTACTTTTTATAAACAGCAAATATATAATTTTATATATTAAAAAAACAAAATCTTAGTTTGTAAAAAAAAAAAAACTTGTACCATTTAGGTTGTACATACTTTATATGTATTTTAAACATATGTTTGAATAAAATTATGATCCACATATTGCATAAATATGGAGCTCTTTTCTTATGATACAAGCAAATACCACATGATTTCACAATACTGTATGACAGAGAGATCTGCAAAGTTTTATTATAGACAGAGGCACACATTATACTTGTTTAATATGCATTTATTTAACATGTAAAAATAGAAAAACTAAATAAAATCACTAAAGTTAACATTTGCACAAGAAATGTTGGTTTGCAAGATGAAAATGCTCTATTGACTAAGGGGGAATCTACACACATGGTCTCTTCACTGGTTTTTCTGCCTCCTGCTGGGAACAGAGGGCATCCCGTTTCCGAGATGGTGCATTCGGATCTGTAGCGTTCTCTTTGCCGTTTTCTGAAACTTTCTTAGCAACACACACAAAAAAAAACATTTTAGACAATCGTAGTTCTACAGAAGAAAACTCGAGCAACGTAAAAGGTGCTAAAAGATACAACATACACATAAATATTATAATCTTTTTTTCCACTTTGTTGCTAAAAGTCTCTTAAATCAACATTCAATGTTCTTTCGGTGCAGTAAATGTGCCCATCAAGCCATTACTAGAATCGAAGATACAGTGTTGGGCTCAATTCTGGGACCAATGGATGTAAACAATGCAGAAAATAAACTGCTCACAAGGGTTCACAGATTGTTTTTCTAACATAAAGGCACTCATTATGTGTAATGTTTCGATAATAAAACTCTGAGAAATAGTGTGAAAACTTGCCTTATGACACAACCAACTCCTAACCATAAAAAAATCAAACCTTTTCCAAGAACAGTACATGAAAAAGGACGGAAAATTGAAATTGATTTATTCATATCTGAATGGAAACCTTTAAGAAAAAAAACCTAGAGAAAAGCCACATAAATGTTAATAAACATAAAATCTTATCCATAATGTATCTTGAAACTGGACATAAAGATAAGGAATGTCCTAAAACTTTCAATACATTTTAACTAACAACAGCAGTAGTGATGTTGTAGAGATCAAGTTAAATCTAGATGCAACAGCACAGCCTTGTGGTTCAGATAAGATACTGCACAACATAGGGCATTGCTGTGGAACCAGCAAGATCCTATCCATGCACACATCACACAACAGTGATAGAAGAAAATAAAATTAAACTGTATTACTTTGTTCCTCTGAAGTGCATGTTCCCGTGTCCACTTCTTGGCCTTCTCTGTGAACAGGTGCTTGTTGTATTTGAACTCTGATGACTGCATTGAAATAAAATAAATACATGGATTAATAGACATTAAATATATCTCAATCTGAAGACTCGGTTTAGTTTTAGAACAGTGGCAACACACAGTTATAGGTAAGGTCCAAAAAAGAAAAAGGATTACATGCAACTCACTATATCAGCCATAAGTGGGTCATCAGGATTGGGCTCAGCCATGAGCAGCTGGATAGAGGTGAGCACTGTCGAAATGTTTAAAGATGGCCTCCAGGCACCCTGAAAGAAAAGAAAAAGCAAAAAAGTCATAAAAGCTTGGAATATGAGCTCACATCTTTGAGACAAATAGAAAATAAAACAATTTCTTATTTTCACAACCTTTGGTGGGAGTTTAAGAGCATCGTGGCAAATTCTCCCAGAGTTGTCGATGTTCGGGTGGTAGATTGGGGTTGAAAATCGTATGTTTGGAGGTTCAAATGGATACCTAAGACAAATCAAAGGTAGATCTATTGTGTTTTGATGGTTAAACATGTGTCAAATTTTCAAAATGACAGAAATAGTACCTTTCTGGGATCTTAACCTCTAGGGTAAAAAGTCCACCTTCATAAGGCGTTCCTACACCACCGACTATCTCTGTAAAGGAATGGTTTATACCAATAAAATACAGAAATGTGTCTTGAGATGTCAATGTTTTAGGTTGCACGAGTTATTTAACATCCTTACACAATCAAATGTTTCTACACTGCTTGACCAAAAATGATTACACACTCCAATATATTAGCTTTGATAACGGCACGCATTCACTGGGGTATTTTGCTGAATTACCTTCTGCAATGTCACAAGATTTATTTCCATCCAGTGTTGCTTTAATTTTACAACAAGCTCTTCAGTTGATGGTGGGGGAGTCTGGCCCCAGTGCAAAGGCAACTCAAGCACACCCTTTAACAACTCAAAGGGGTTAAGATACTCTTACTTTTCATTGCTAAACACACCCCTGAGCTCTATTGTTTTTCTACGATTTGATTCTGCCAAACATTAAAGTGATCGCTGATCACAATCTTTATTTAGTATTAGGGCTGCAACTAAAGATTATTTTGCAAATGATTATTCTGTCGATTGCTTTTTCAATTAATCGATTAATAGTAGGATAGCTAAAGGTTCCTTAAATAAGACTTTTAAGAAATTAAACAGATGAAACTAAAACTTTTCCACTTAAGGAATTTTGGATAGAGCATATATTTTTTTTATCCTACATGCAAAATGTATACATATTATTTTACAATTTTGGTATAGTTACTGTTCTAAGTGTGTTGCTCGGTCAGTTAGAGGCATGATTTAGAGTCTCTATTCTCCAGTAAACGATTAATTCATAACTAAATTAGTTGACGATTATTTTATTAATACAATAAATTGTTTCAACCCTATTTAGTATTATTCTTTTTATGGGCCAGGCAGTGTATTTGTATTCATTCTTGAAAATGGCAAAATATGGTTCAAGGATCATTTAACAGACAATAAATCCTAATTAATGTGCACAATGTCATAAATGTCCTCCATCCTTCTGGAAAAAAAATCTGTTTCAAGGTTGCCAAAATTCTTGCATAAAACATCAGAAATTGCTTTAATAAAAACACTCTGGGATTATTAAAGTATGTCTGATTCTGATTTAGTTCAGGAATCAGTTGAGCCAAATATGACATAAACCCAAAGTATAATTCAAGTATCTGCAATGAGCATTTCTCCAAACCCTTAATATTAACCTAAGCAATATTTATAATAAAAAAAAAAAGACTTGTGTTTGAGATTACAAACCTGTTTTTTTAAGTTATCATTAAATATAATCTTAAGATATATTCATAGAAATATAATATATTTAAAAAAATAATCCTTATAAAGAAAATATAATAGTACACATATAATACACAAGTTGATTTAGACCAGTTGGTGAATCTAAAATATCATCCTACTACACATATTCTTTGTTATATCGAATATTAGGTATACAGAATGGGAATGACAAGAATATGCAGGTATGTAATGATTGTTCTGATGTGAAGTTTGGACTACTATAATTAGTTAACTCTACCTGAACTGTTTTATCATGAATAGAGAGATGTCTATTGGTAGCTTACGTGCTTGGAGCTCATCCATCCGCTCCTCTACCTGCCAGCATGTTATCCCAGGAGGAGGCTCAGTGCTGAGCATCTGAAGCTCGCGCTTTAAACGGGAAGCTCTCTGCATTCTATGGAGAAAAAAACACAATGAAGGCAAATTTTCAACACATATAAATAAAGTCGTAAAGTTCACTCAACAATACAGCTAAGCTGAAATTATTAACACAGCTTGTTGTGGGTGAAAATTTAAAAAAGTGTTGCTTAAAAGAGGTGCTTAAAACCATAAGGCATTAAAAGAAAAATAACATTTTGAGGTTTGAAATTGAAGTTTGCAAAGCTTAGCTGGACACTATATAATGTGGTTTCAAGGAATGCTTAAACAACATAAAGGTTAAATGAATCACATTATATTTGATAAAATAAGTGTTTGAATTAATTATCATGTTGCCAATGTTTGATCTGCCTAGCTTAAAAGTTGGAGTTCATGTAAGGTGGTCTGGAACCAAACTAAAAATAACTAAATCAATTTTCCCAATGTTCAGCAAACGTCACAGATTGTGTTTTATATAATATGTAGTTATGCAATTTCAAACAAACCGTCCTGAATCATTCGAGGTATTCCAGATTACGAACTTGATAACTCGAGTCTTTGGAAATAAACTTAAATTGATATTATCTTCAGTTTATAAGTAACTGACATTAGAAAGTCGTATCCTTAACTCGAAATGTTTACAGTTAGTCGCCTGTCTGGTTGTTACAAACCTGCCGTAAGCTAACTATTCAAATCATAACACCCTTCTATCAAGGTGCAAACGAGTTACTTCTAGTAGCCATTCACACATTGTTAAATCATCTTTTTTTCCCACCTGTTACAAACTTTACTTTCGTAACGGAATTAAAAACGCGTCCAGTTTTCCACAGAAAAAAAACAGCTCCGCCGACTATTTGGATTTCCCTCTTTGGTGTAAGACTTCTTCGCGTGTTCATATGGTTGTGGTTGCAAAGCGGACAGCGCCACCACCTGTTTTGGAGTACGGGACATAAAATGCTCTCTCCTAATGTGCATTGGAAACGTTCCATAAAAGACCAACATGCTGATTTTAATCTCCCTAGATTTCTCACAACTGAAAAAAAATCATAAAATAGGAACTGTACTACGCAGTAACGTAGTAAATCCTATAATTAGGCTACTTTATTTACTATTTTTGTTATTAGAATAGAATAGAATGGAATTGAATAGAGTAGAATATAATGGAATAGAGTAGAATGCAATAGAATGGGATAGCATAGAATAGAAAATCTCTTTATTGTCCCACAATGGGGAAGTTCTGGTGTTTACAGCATCAAAAAGATTATAGAAAAAAATGGTCACAGAATGTGGACCTTAGAAAAATGTACATGAATAATATAATAGTGAAGGATAAAATACTTTACAGTACAGTATTTTATTGTATTTTATCATTATTATTGTGGAGAATAAATAAACAATATGCAGCTATGAACATTTTTACAGTGATAGATATTTGAAAAAAGCAGCAACATCAGAGATGTGCAAAATAACTGCAGCATGTTATTTAACTAAGATAGAAACTGTGGAAATCAGCATGGATGTAACAACATATTTAGGTTGTAGGGAACAGTGGTGGTTATAAAGTCTTACAGCTGCTGGGAGGAAGGATCTGTGAAAACGCTCCCTGGTGCATTTACGGTGCAGCAGTACATAGACCATTATAGACGTTAGGATGACATCAGTCAAATATACAACTTCTATCTGATCTCACATATAGCAACAAAAAACAAGCTGAAAACTAGACATAATTTCTAAAATGTGTTTATTTTTGTATTAACAATTTGTTATAGCCAAAATAATAGCAAATCATTTTCTATCTTTGGACAAAGTGGAATTAATTTATACAACACATTTCAAATCATAACAACTTACACAACTAAATCACCCAGTCTCTCTCTATTTTGCATGCATACATTTATAGATGGGTACATAGATCAGTAAGCAACTTTCAGGTTAAGTGCCTTGCTCATGAGCAGATAGTAATGTGGCAAGAAGAGGAGGAAATTATACCTACAACTTTTGGCTAGCATGAGTGCTCTTCCCTGTGACATGCCATGTACATTTATGTAGTCATTTATCATAGGATTTCAATAAAACTTTGACATAAGTTTGTTATTTTGTTACAAAATCATTTATGAAAAGGTTAAAATTTTTGTTCCATGCTTTGAGTTATATATCTGAATTACTGATTAATACTGACTAATAAATACATTCAGTTTGTGACATTTTTATTAAAAAACTGTCTCTTGTCAAGCAACATAGTAATTAAAGTGCACCAATCATACAACTCTGGAAATTATTTCCATTGCCATTATTGCTTTTTCCAAGTGCTTACGTAATACAAATCATAATTTTGATAATTGCTTATCAGTTCTCAGTCACAGTGTATCTATTTTAAATGGCACACAATGAAGACCTTTTATTTTGATACTGAGTAAAGCAGTCATGGAAAAAGAATGAATTATACACTGTCTCGTGTTGATGCAGTGGCATAAATGGCCTGAAAGGTTATGTTTCCATGATGCGTGTCTTCCATCCTGATGTCGGTGAAGCCGGTGTCTCTCAGAGCTGCCATGTAGGCCTCAGGGCGCCAATTCTCCCCTGGCATCACTTTCTTAGCTGCTAAAGCAGCTATATGTGATTGCCTCAGTGTGGTCACTATCAGCCCACCTAGGTAAGTCAAATGTTTATAAGAGTGAAGGAAAACCAATTTATCTACATTGAAAATTGAGGATCTTACCAGGTTTCATTACTCTGTGAATTTCTGTGGCTGCTTTCCCGAGGTCGGGCCAAAAGTAGTAGCAGTTACAGTGAAAGACTTTATCCACACAGTTGTCTTCCAAAGGCATATTGGCAACATCACACAGATGAAGGGTCACTTTGCCGCTCTCCAGAAATTCCTTTACTTGTTTTTTGGCCATCTACCATATTAGAAAAAAACAATGATTCAGAGTTCTAGTTAAGATATGCCCAGTATTTCCATGAATTCACAATCCACTCTGCCTTCACAGTTTTTTTTAGAACACTTTTTCTCATTAGAAATATGTAAATACATAAGAATGTCTCACCTGATGCATATACTCAGAGTAATCCACGCCTATCATATGCCCCTTAGGTCCTGTTAGCAGTTTGGCTGCTAACTCCAGACCAAGTCCTGGGCCATGACCCAATTCCAGCACTGTCTCCTCTGGTTGGATCTTACACAGATGCACAGCACTCTCCTCAAGAACCTGGTTCCGCGTTTTGAAAATCTTGCTGACCAGCCATCCCCCTATAGATTGTGTTGGCCTGCCCAATTGGCCTCCCAGTTTTTTAGCCCACATACCTGGAAATTTTAAACAATAGAGATCATCCATCCATCCATCCATCCATCCATCCGTTCATCCATCCATCCATCCATCCAATGACTGCAAATCCAATATTCTACAAAAAATAATAATAAACAGAACAACTTTGAATAATTATTCCAGAATGTCTTCTATAAAATACAAGTGAAAAAAGTACTAGGTACCCTAAATGATGCTTTCAACAATTACTAAACAATGAAATAAGAAAATATAAGCTACCCAGATCTGTTATATAAGCATGTCAGATACACACCTTACGTTGACACATGAACACATTTTAGGCACTAATGGAACCCCATACTTACAGGACTTTTAGTTATCCCTATCTGATGTACATTTCATTTATAATTTTTTCTTCCACTAAACTTTCCATCAGGACGAGGACTCTATGAACACCAGGCTTTTTTGTAACTACAACCATTTTTGTTTTATCCTGTTTCTTTAAAATGTCAGACCAGCAACCCCCTCGTTGATATAACATAGTCGTAACATCTCTGTTAAATATATTTTGGTATTGATAAAAATATATTTTTTTAGGACGCACAATGCCGAGCATTTCATTTGCTGCTCTGTCACAATAATCAACGTGGGAAAAAACCGAAATGGTCTTTCTGTTCGTAATTAATTGGACAATTACAACAAATTAACATTAAGAGACGCATCTGTTTTATTTCTCTCCGTGTTTTCCGTACCGAGGGCCGTCCCAGGGGGCCCCTTTCAATTTTTTTTATATATTTTTTTCACATATTTTAATGTATTTTAAATGACGCAAACATTTCTGCTATTGTTTTAGAGCGTTGTTTTATCCAGTCTGTCCCTCCTGCTTGGCCTGGGTCTACATCTTACTTACTTTCTCCTTCGGACAAACTCTCCCGATGAGTCAGTGGTTGATCTCTTCCTGTATGAAGGGGAGGAGCACGAGGACGAGATCCTATTCGACCCAAACGCGTCTCCTTTCTCTTCCCTTTGACACTCCTACTGCTTTCTAATCCCCCTCATCCTGTTACTTTTTTAATCTTTAATCGTATCGATTTTTTTATGTGGTTTTCGGCCAAGATTAAGTCAATAAACACGATTTGCTGTAGATTTACTAAAGAAAACAAATACAAAAGTTACACAGTGACAGGTTTTCTCACATTTAATCCAATGATGTTGTTTTTTTAAAATAAATTACAGCTCCCAAAAGTATTAAACTCTGTTCCTGCATGTATTTTCCTACTAATTATTTGAATTTGTTTTGCGCTCTGAAGTGCGCTCAGGTTTTATTTGGAAAGGTGCGAAGCTGCGGCTGTTCTGCACACACCCCCTGTGGGGATTAGCCTATGTTTCTTTCGTTTTCATTTCCCGGAAGGGTCGAATGTGAAAATAGTGCAGTTTGTTTATTTCTTCCACGAAAAGATTGTGTTTTCTTTTTTTGTGATAGACTTTAGAAATGCGTGAGTCTTGGTTTATTTTATTTGCTCAGTGAATCAGCTTTTGGTGAAACCGCTCGGGGTTTTTGTGTTGTTGTGTTTTTGGTGCAATCAAAAAACATAAGAACTATTTCTATGGCGAGCGTCTCTCCGTCACCTTTGATCAAGGTAAGTGACGGAGCAAACCGTCCCATATTGCATTTATTCTCCTGAATTATAATCAGAGTTTTCTGATTGTTATTAATTTTGATTAAAATCCCTTTTTCAAATAGAAAATCGATATTTTTGTGCTGTCCTTTTGTTATTTCTCTAGGAGGAAACTAGAGCAGACAGTCCCTCACCAACAATGCATGGGAGGGAGGTCAGCTTTCATCAAATAGTTAATCACCCTGCCCTAAAACAGCCTCCTTTGGTCAGTGCTCCCTATCAAGGAGATCTTTGGCATCTGCCTGGAAGACTGAGTAAGTCCTCTTTTCATATAAAATTCAGGATGCATAAGCAAACCCAGCTACTTATTCTAAACATGGTAAAAACATATTGTTCAATAAGTCAAAATATGTATTTTTATTTCTAGGAATAAACCCCTCTCTGTGGGATAAGGAGGATGTAGTCCACTGGCTGCACTGGGCTCAGAAGGAGTACTCACTACGCCGGCCAGAAAAGGGCCGCTTTGAGATGAATGGCAGAGCCCTTTGCCTGCTTACAAAGGAAGACTTTAGACGCCGATGCCCAAGCTCAGGTAAAACTGGCTCTCTTTCCCATATCTTTTTTTTTTTTTGTAGTTTTAATTGTATCTTCTTCTGATAATAATGATGGTTTCCCTCCAGGGGATGTTCTTTATGAAATCCTTCAGTGTGTAAAGCAACACAGGAGGAGCGTTGTCTGCCAGCCCCCTGATGTATCTGCTCCAAGTGGGCACATTCAGGCCCCAGTCAGTAGCCAGATACCTTCTCACTTCGTCCAAGATCCACAGGCTGTGAAAGTCAGTGGATGTTCAGGTCAGAACATTTCTCTATATGAATTTACAGAAATAATTATTTTATTTTATTTTTGACAACTACAAAGTGGAATACTCAAATGTCACATTTACTCGATATAGTGACCTCTTAAGATTTTTTACAATCCTTTGAACTATTTTATATGTTATTTTGTGTTGCAAGAACAAACTGCAATATATATTTTATTTTATGAACCACCACGAAGCAGGGTGGAAATTGTAAACTGAAAAGGAGAAGTTTGCCCAACGCGGAGTGTTGTCTAAACACACCACCTTCATGCTGAAACATGGTGGAAGTGCCATAATGCTGTGGGAAAGCTTCTCTTTAGCAGCAAAACAGAACTTGGTCAGACCTGATGGGAACGTTAATAACAGGACCATCCTGAAAAAGATCTGTTAAATGTAATGTTTTAAAGCAGGAGTCTTCAACTCTGATATGTGCTATCCTGTGGATGTTTTAATATTTTCATCTTCCCTCCACACTGAATAAATGGGTGGTTAATAGGCTTCCATGGTGCTTAACTAATTTTAGTAAAATACCCGAATTAATTTGCAGGTAATATAATTATTTGATTTAGGTGTGCTTGGGCAGGGACACAACATATGAGACGTCCTGAGGACCAGGGTCAAGGACCCCCGCTATAAATAAGAAAATATTTGTGATTAGAATTATTAAATGAAAGCTCAGACATGATTTTGATCAGTGGCAAGACCTTTAAGTTTATGCTAACAGGTGTTTTGCATCTACTGTTTCGGCTATTTTGCAGTGGATGGTCAATTGTATCAGCTGTATGTGCAGAGCTGGTTCCCCCTTGCCTAGAAAATATGCAGCTTTATCTTTAGTCAAAGTTGGTTCTAGAAAGCATTGACTCAGAGGGTCAATACAAATACATGTCAAATGTTTGGATTTTTAGTTGCAGAGAAGTTTTAGCCCCAAGTTAATCTTCCTTTTACTCCGAACATATGAGCTATTTTTTGATAGGCGAGGCAAATCAAATGTATTTATACCGCACATTTCATGCACGAGGCAACTCAATATGCCTCACAGCAACACCAAGAATACAAACACAATTAAACAAATCAATCAATGCAAATATATAAAAATACATATGTTAAATGTAGTTAAATACAATCAGTCAGCAAAGTCAACACTAAATAGGCATGTTTTCACCCTGGACTTAAACTTAGTCAGGGTTGAGGCTTGTTTTACGTCCTCAATGAGGCTGTTTCAGACCTTGGCTGCATGAAACTGAAATGCAGCCTCACCATATTTAGTGGTGACTGTAGGAACCACCAGGAGACCCCTTCTTGAGCATGTCAAGGCTCGAGGTGGTTGAGATGGCTCTAACATGTCAGAGATGTACTTTGGTGGTAAACCATGAGAAGACTTGTACACAAGTAGAGCTGTTTTAAAGTCTATTCTCTGAGCCACAGGAAGCCAATGCAGAGACTGGAGCACTGAACTAATGTGGTCATATTTCCTGGTTCTGGTCAGGACTCGAGCAGTGCATTTTGGATAAACTGCAGTTGTCTAACTGCTCATTTGGAAAGGCCAGTGGAGAAACTGTTGCAATAGTCTAACCTGTTAGAGCCAAATGCATGGATTAATCTCTCCAAGTCTGGTTTAGACACTATGTCTTTTATTTTAGTAACGTATTTTAGACGGTAATAGGCTGCTGATATAATGGACTTAATATGACTGTTGAAATTCATGTTTGAAACCATGATTAGCCCAAGATTTCTTACTACATTTTTTGGTTCTAATTAAAGAGTCTTAAGATGACCTATGACAACTTCCCAGTGGTCTGTTTCACCGGGTCTATTTTCCTCAGTAGGAGTGATGTGCTTACCTTGCAAATGCTGCAATTGCCTTTTTGACAAGCATAGACAAGAAAGAAAATCCACATTACAGTACACAAAAGTACTTAAGGAGCATTAGGATGGACATTTTGCAAACAACAATTTTAGATTTATGGAGATCTATCTATATCTGGTTAGAGCATGCACAACTCACATCAACAATGTTATAAATTATATATACAAAATCTGTTATTTGGCTTTTGTCTGAGCTTAAAAGATAAGGTGTACATCCTTGTATGTAAGAGGCATATGCAAAAAAAGAAAGTACTGCAAAGTCCCTTTGCTCAAACATACTCTGTATTTAGTTTGGTGCATATCAAATAGTACTTGTTTATTCTGGAGAGCATGCGGGCAAAGAGACTTCCTGATCAACATGTCTCGACAAACTGAGACTAAGATCTGGCTTCCTATTACTGTTTTCATGAGGAGACAAATCTGATTGCTTAATTTTATAATTAACCCTACCCTGATCATCACGAGCTCCAACAACCCCTGTTTGACTTTCCCTCAACTTCTTTTTCGTCATGTAATTTATTGATTCAGTTGTTGCAAAATGCTATTATACAATTTTTGGTTTGTAATTCTGGTGCTGCAGTGAATAGAATTATATGCTGTGCTTTAAAAGGGGTTGTATTTGTCACAACTCCCTGGATTATTTGGTGCAAAAAGCAAAGTGTTCACTTAAATACCAAGAATCTGTGAACTGCTTGATTCATAAAGCTGAAAATGAGTACAGTTCAACCACACACATTCCCGTTTTGGCCTCAACCACAAAAAGGGTGATTTCCATTGTAGGAAGACGGATATTTGCTAATGGGTTGTGGCTACATGGATCGCAGTAATCTTTCAAGTCCATAGTCCCTGTTTTTTGGGGTTTTGTTTGAAGCCTAATGAGCCATATATAAAATGACAATAAAATCTCTTTATGTTAAACTTCGAGGTAATGATTGATGACTCCTGTTAATGTAAAACATTGGGGAGTGTTGCAAAAAAAAATGCTTTTACTTTCTGTTTAGCTTTTCATATTTCCTCATATTTCACTCTAGCAGTTTCCCTTACTGTTGCTGCTGCAGCGCCGACAGCTGATGCCGCTGTGAACTGCCAGCCTGAGCCTATTTCTCCTCTTAGAGAGCAGCCTGTTTTTCACCCATACTCTGCTTCACACACGCATAACAGTAAGTATAGAAAACAGCTTCACTCCGCTTGTACTTTTAGTCAATAATAACAAAGATTGCTTAGTTTTGTTTTATTTTGTCTTTCTCATAGATAGATCAGCAGCTGTCTCCACTTCGCCCCAAAACCAAATCCAATCACTCCCACTAAAAGAAAGCGTCATCCCGGAGCCTCTTAATCTGTCCAGTCGAGAGAGACCAAGGAGCCCACTGCAGAAAGCTAATGGTCGCCTACCAGGTACTGCCAGCCTAATTTATAAACGATTCCTCAAAATGAATTTGTGCCACATAAAAAAGATAAAATCGTCTAAGCTGCTTTGCTTTATTTCATTTGCCTTGGAGCCTGGAAATATATCTGGGAATAATGTCACACTCCTTTTACCACAATCCTGTTGCAAATTGGAAAACCTCAAGGACTGTTAATTGTTGTCAACAGGGTCTTGTACAACAGAGGATGAACAGTACTATACCAAAACTGATGTTATAAGATATGAAAGGATCCAGGTCAGCTTAGGTCTGAATCAACATACTCCAACATGTTGGCATTTGGTAGCTGTTAAATTAGTGTTTTATTCCTGTGTAATTGAACGACATAATAAAATAACTTGTGTAAATGTGGAGTGCTTTAAAAAAGTATACAGATAAGCAAACTATCTATAAATAATAGAAATATAAAACTCCAAATCCTTTATCCATAATATATTTTCATTGCACATTATTTCCTCCATCCTAAGTCAGTACACATTATGCTGCACTGATAGGCCAATGAATACTCTTACACTCCTGGTGTGAGGAGCTTAACACTGACTTTAAGGAGTTAAACAGCCTCCAAATTTCTCAGACCTGGAGTCAATATGCCCCTTTAAATGTCCAGTTATCGGGTTTATGGTAGCCACAAAAACCACACTTTAATGCAACCCGACAGATTTGGCAGTGACTCCTAGGCGTTGAAACAGCTTTAGAAAAACTAAGAGAAAGTCTGGTTGCTATCGATTTTATTCTGTCTTGGGGTGACCTCTACCCATAATCTTAGATAGAAGATGTTGGGCAGACGAGGGTGATCCAAGCAGGTCCTACCATGCTTTGTACAGGATTTAAAGCTACCATGTCTACTTCTCAGCAACATCTAATGCAGCGATGAACCACCCCTGCCCAAGGGCTTCTCCCCCCTCCAACAATACGGAGGTCATCATGGTTCAAAATGGTTTCCGTAATGTTAGCTTCACCTTTCTTATCAAGTGATGACAAGGTTTGTTTACATAGGTAATATTATAAATGGCATTTCATAATAATAATAACTGAACTTTATTGATCTCAAATTGGAGAAATCTACCTCTGCATTTAACCCATGCCATTTGTGAGCAGTGGGCCTCCATCATGGGCGCCCAGGGAGCAATCTGGGGTTAAAGGTCTTGCTCATAGAGCCAGAGAAGCAGTCTGTGGAAGTGGGGCTCGAACCCAGAACCTCAGAATTCCAAGCTCTATGCCCTAACCACTAGGTCACCACTCCCGCCAATTGTTCATTGGTGTTTGTAGGATATAGATTGTATATAGGTCAATAACGTGCTGCAATCCTATTTGAGCATAATGCCATCTCTATAGTCACTAGTTTTCATCTCTGCACTACTAGCAGTTTCTCAGGCAACCGCAAACATGAAGACGGACAATTTCAGTTCTTGATGATAATAATAAACATACTTATGTATAATAAATAATAATAAATTACATATCTTTCAGTAAATCACTGTGATTATAACAGACTAAAGCTTAAAAAGAACATCTTAGTGTTAGATACCACAGCACACATTCAGTAGTCGAGTTTAGTAAATGGCTCTATTAATCAAGGGGTTTTTTTGCATAAAAAGAGGGATTTGCATACAATCAGGCAGGTAAGCATAGTGCTATACCTGATGGATGTAGTTTGCACAGAAATTATGGTTAAATAAATTCTGGATGAAGGAAGTTTTTAATCATCCTAACAATCTAACACATGACATGTGTTACTGTTGTAATTGTGGCCAGAGTGCAGACTGCTGTGGGACTATGTGTATCAGCTGCTGTGTGATGACCGCTACCAAGACTACATTCGGTGGGAAGACCCTGACACGCACGTATTCAGGGTGGTTGACCCAAATGGACTGGCACGCCTGTGGGGAAATCATAAGGTCAGCAAAAGATTTCTACCTAATACATGACAAATTATTTTGTTGTTAAAATATTTCCATTAGATAATTTATCTTGTTTTAAGAGTTTGCTTTTTATTCTTTGTGCCCAAATTTAAACAAGAATCTTAATTCATTTAATGTTGTGTAAAATTTTCTTGATGGATAAATATTTTGTCTTGTTTTGAGTCCATTTTGCTTCAGATTTAATGTTTGTTAATAGACACCACTTATTGCACTGTAAGGAAACTGAACAGATGGGGTTAGAGATTCAGGGGAATTATGTCATATTAAGCAGTGCAGGTTTTGATTGTGAGTTTATTCCGTTGACAGAACCGAGACAACATGACCTATGAGAAAATGTCCCGTGCTCTGCGGCACTACTACAAGCTCAACATCATCAAGAAGGAGCGAGGACAAAAACTCCTCTTCAGGTCTGTCATTTCTCCAACATTCTATTTTTATATCCATAAAACAACAAGCAACATCATGGTTTCTGTCTCTTTTCTCCCCCTAAGGTTTCTGAAACTCCCTCAGGATATCAGGAAACACCAAGTCGACTCAGCTGGGTCCCCTGAACATACACCACCTCAGGTTGTGGACTTTGCAGACAGCAGTCCTTTGCAGGATTTCAGTGACGATCATTTTGAGGTTTCACCTGATCGAGCATCTCCACAGCCTCCCTCCACCGGTGCTCCAGTGGGATAAAGAAGTAGAGTGAAATCCAAATTCAGATATTCATAAAGAATAAATAAAGTTTTTTTTAAAGAAATGTTTAGCTCCAGAAATAATCCACGAAAAACTGGCTAAAAACTTCTGCTCTGAGTGAACACTAACATTAAGGTAAAACGAAACATGTATAGGGTTTATCAAAATGCATCAACAAAGCCATTGTAGCATATATTTCTGAGGTTTGCATGTAATTGCACTATGGTTTCTGGATTTATTTTTAAATTAATATTCAAGTCTAGTAAGGAGATGAAGCAGAGGTAGATGTAATCAAACAGAATTTATTATTTTGATATCTTTTTGGGAATTTGTTTTTCACAATTATGGGTGTTTGTTTTGCTTGAGGAAATTTATACATTTGTTTTTGTTTTTTTAAATGACAGTTGTGACAGAATTGCTTTGTTGTTCATAGACATGGAGAGTCACAAAAATGTAGTGCCTTGAAAAAGGAAAGTAAAGATTTTTTATCCCCAAGGGATGAGTTGTTTCTATTTTGGGGACTGCTGTGAAAGCCATAAAAAACATCAACAAAAAAAGAACCCATCAGTCCTTACAATTACCAGGATAAAAGCAACAAAGATAAAGGATTTTTTGAGTCTGTTTGTCATACAATGTGGCATTGTTCATTTCTCTCCTAATCATAAAGGAGAATTCTGCTCATAGAGGATCAGCCAAATAACCCCAGGCTTATTTAAAGTTCTCAAATAATGTAAAAACTCAGGTGAGATGTGTTGGAAATGTTACTGAAAACCCTCAAAATACTTTGTTGGCGATTCTACATTTTTTCGGGAAGTGATGCATGCCAAGAAAAAACAAACTGCAGGATGGATACGACACGAATAAAAATGATTTGACATTATAAATAAAGGCAATCTACAATATAAGTGCCTTTGCTGCTGTGCTATGATCTGATCTAAACTTCATTGGCTCACTTCAATATAGATTTTAAGCTTATTTTAAGCTTACTACCGGGGGTTCTCCTACCCCTAGTGGTCCGCGAGTATGTTGTACATGAAAATATTTTATTTCTTAGGTTTTAAAATAAAATAGGGCTGGGATCTGTTTTGCTCTGTGAGGCCAACGTTGAAAAATTAAACAATCTTTCATCAATCAAAAAGTAAATTTTCTTATTTGTTTGAGTTCACTTTCAGCTTTGACAGACATCAAAACCAAGCAGAGGAACAGACTGGATGTAGAGAACAGCCTGGTATCAGCTGCTTTTCACGCTGAGCTCTTAGAACTCATCTAAACAGGTGTCTTGATAAAAACAAATGAAACTAATTAAGTGAGTCTGACCATAATTTTTGTTCCCAATTTATCAAGTTTAAATGTGATTTTAAGGGAGTTACTCAGAGTGGCTAAAGTTTTATAAATACAGGTTTATATTATATTTTATTTTGATTCCTTACAAATTTCCAGACAACATCTCTATGTTGTTTTTTAAATTTCAGATGGAAAGCATAACATGCCTAAGAATGAAATGCTCAAATTAAAAGAATAAGTTAAATATATTTTTTTTTAAATATTTATTTTATTGTATGTTCCACTTTTGGAAAATCATCAATAATTTTGACTTAAAGAGGTACTCATGGTAAGACAAAATGCCCAAAGTGGTACACAAGTGGAAAAAAAAAAGCTCGGAAATACAGATCTAGAGCCCAGTAAAGGATGCCCTACATTGGCCAAAATTAAACTGGGGACAGATAAAGAAATGTTTTATCACAATGAAGGAGGACCTGAAATCTGTCATTCAGGTTCCACACTCATCTTTTACTTACATTAGACTCATCCAAAAGGATTACACCTCATTTCTTTATATTCCATTACTGTAATACTGTCACTCCTTATATAGAACAGGACCCCTTCTTGAAGAAGACCTTTGTAAATCTGAAGTTTGCCCTTCAATAAATCCTCATGGTACGGAAGTTTGAGTCTGTCTTATGATCAATGAATAGGCTTTTTTTTCTTTCAATAATAATCTTTTAGAAAAAACCTGTGGCTTTTACAACTAAATTTCTACATTGGATTGGAAACAGGCAAACTGTTTTCTAATCAGGTGATTTCTGAGGTTAGTTGGTTGCTTTGGATTATGTGTAGGGATATCAGAGTTAAAGTTGATCTAATATATTTCAGATTTGTATCATTTGCTTTTTCCTGATATTTCATAAAGGAAAATAGTAAAATCCACATTTTCCTAAATGGGCAAGAGTCCTTCTTTTACCAAAAATGTCTGTTACGTGATAGTATACTGGAGTTACACCTGCAGAGTATGCTGTAAAAGGGCTTTGATTCAGCTTCTATCTGGCTGTTTTCTTTCTGTTTTTTTATGGTTTTAGTCTGTAGATATTTTTTTTGTGATAACTAAACTGGGCTAATGGTCTTCAAACCATCAAATGACAAAAGTCAAATCATTTTATACCAAAAATGTGGTTTCAAACAATTAAAGAAAAAGCAACAACCCTCAATTAATGCATAAAACTGTGTATTTTTTCAGTTTTTGAAAGATCAGTATTATAAATATATTCTCAAGGGTGTATCAGTCATAAGCTTAGAATTTCTATGCAACAGCGTAATAAACCTAAGAACTGCAGTGCTCTATGACTTGAACAAAACGTCTTTGAGACAGCCACATGACATGGCCATGACAAATGGGACATGTCGAATTGGGATGCATTTAAAAAACTGACGGACTCCTCTTCAAAGTCCTTTCACCAACTGCTTCATAAATGCCTGATGTAATTCATTTATCTTTATTTGTTGCTGCCCCTGTAACGCTCTTCCTGATTAAGGAATAATTTTAGGATCACAAAAACGTTTCAAGATGTCCCACTTTCATGATGTTCCCTGGGATATTTCCTTCTCTGGATCTGGATTCCTGGCTACCTATCAGCTGGGTGTTGTCCTGTGCTTCCTGCAGTATTCACCCTGGATTCTGCAGTCAGCACCCTTCATCCTCGGAGCGTCTGCAGGATCTGTGGTTGCAGCGGCTGCTGTCTGTAAAGTTGACCCAAGTAAGTAAACATATTTTTATTTATTTTTTGTGAATGTAACTTTAAACTCTGTGTTCTTTCACATTACAGTTACCATTCGGGATGAGATGATTCTTTTTGCCAAGAAGGCGTTGGCTTCTCCACTTGGACCACTTAACCCTTCAAATGGGGTTTCGAAGTGGTTGGAAAGTGTTTTGCGCAAACACCTTCCATCAGATGCACACCATTTCGCAAGCGGCCGCCTCGGTGTTGCTGTGACACGTCTCTCAGATGGGATGCAGTTAATCCTGTCGGAATATCAATCCAAAGAAGATGTTGTGGATGTAAGTTTGTGCTGTGACACACAAAATTATTATACACAAATAACTATACGTAATTAGATACAAGATATTTGCGTACACTACACAAAAAGACACAACTTAAATGGTCTATATGTTTTTACAGTTAGATAATTAATCACACTGAACTTTATTAAATCAAACTTTAATTCAGGTCAGTTAGAATTGGCCAAATAATTTTTATTTACTCCTAGCCAGAAGAACAGGAGGACCAAGATATTAGGAAAGGAATTGTGATCTCGAACAAAGTCTGGTTCATCCTTGGGTCTAAATTTAAATGACCGAGGGTTCTATATAGCACAGGAATCTCTAGGCACCACAAAAAAAAAAAAAAGAGGTGTAATATGGTCCAAGAGGCCGCTGTGGTTTGTATGAAATGTTCAAATCAATCACAAACAATAACAAAATATTTAATGAAGAGGTTGGGTGAAACTTGTAAGATGGTCGGAATCCATAAACAAAAAAGTCCTGTACTGGCATTGGTTGTACTAATAAAAGACCACTGTTGGTACAGGGCTAATAAATCCAATCAGGGACAAAGAGCTTCAATTTTTTTTTTCTTTGGAACATAAATTGAAGTGTTTGGAGACTATTGGTTCATTTAAAGTAATGAGACTACAAGCTTGATACCGACATATGGTCTGTGATGTATTATAGTTGTTTTGGTTAAAAAAAAACAATTAGAGATGAAGAAGTCAATATTGAAAAAGCAACAGATTACAGTTTGCAAATGCAGTCAGACAAAAACATTTTCTCTTTTTTGGAAACACTTAAACAAAACAAATGTATGTGGCCACACTGGACATTTTTTTACATTATGAAAAAAGCTGAAATGCCCCAAATAAAATCCCGGATATGATGTTCAAGAGTGAGATTATCATTTTGTGTTGGTGTCTTGGTGTGGAAGGGATTTTTGCGTGTTACAAAATAGAGGACATAATGATGAAACATCTTCAGACTTTGGCCAGCAATAAATGAAATCTTGGATTAGGTCCTTTATGGCCAGTTATATACCTGTTACACTAGGTTCATGTGGTTTTACAGCATTTCAAGATGAAAATCCTATACTTTTCAGGTTCAGATTGTGAAACTGGGATTGTGGGAAATTGGATATAGTTGTCCCTTATGTATAAATTAACAGGCTTTACCCCTCTGAGAAACCTGCATCTTGCAAATGTGTAAGAGGAGACTAATCTCCTATAGGTAATGTTAGATGCTTGTGTAAAGTGATGCAAAAATACAAAAGGTAAAGGGACCGTTTTTCCAAGAGGTTGATAAGCCGTAAAATTCCGGTTTAAATTGTCTTTACTGTCGTTGGCAAATTTGATTTGGTTTGGATGAATTTATTCTCCAGATTTATTTAGGAACAACTGATACTGCACCAAAGTTGATACACATACATGCTAGAATGCCTACCTAGCCACCATGAATAGTTGTGGGCGACAAGTTGCAGAGACCACATTTACAAATAGAAGTAGACCTTATTTTGTCTATTTGATTCCTTGCACAGATCCCACTTTTGAGCAAACTTTACACAGTCTCAATAGGTCGGGGCATTCCAGAAGCCCTATGATAACCAGCAATAATTCATTTAGAACTTTATTCAGTTCTGTTTGTGGCCAGGCTTTAATCGTCTAGTTGCAGATTTTGGATAAGGCTAAAGAATTTGAATTGAGGAATTTTGCAGTTTTGAGATTCACCGGAACCACGGTTTGCATAACATACACACTTAGGCACAAATATTAACAAAGGTTTATGAGCTTGATAGTAAAATTTTTGACCCTGTGTGGACTGGAAAAAAATTCACAAGACAAAATATAACTAAATAAAAACAGCTTTCAATTTATAATTTAAAGCCCCACTTAATATCTATTAAGAATCTCTGCAATATTTGACCAAAATTCCAGTATGCTGTGTTTGCAATCTAAAAGTCTTGTATGTTGCTTGCAGGCTCTGATGTGTAGCTGCTTTGTCCCTGGATACTGTGGCTTTCTGCCTCCAGAATTCAAAGGAGTCGTGAGTGTCACAGGACTAAGCCCAAGGTTCATGCTTGTAGTTTGCTAGGTCACTTTTGCAGTCTTTTTTCCTCTATACTTTTTAACAGCACTACATGGATGGTGGCTTTAGCGGACTCCAGCCCTTACTGTCTGAGGCATCAAGCCGTACACTGACTGTCTGCCCATATTCTGGAGAAGCTGATATCTGCCCAACTGATCCTCCTAGTGTGATGGAAGTGGTAGCTACTGGAGCCATTCTTAATTGCAACATGGCTAATGGCTTTAGGATACTCAATAGTCTTTATCCTCTGACTCTAGAGGTAAGATTCTGCGTCAAAGTTATATATATTTATTATTATATTTATAACATGAAGTTATGTTTTTTACTTTGCCAATGTGTTTAAATGTGTAATTATTGACTGGCATTCAGTAAGCTGAATAGTTTAAAATATGACTTGTCTAGTTTGTCCTTGTATTTTTTTATGAATTACCCCATGTAAGATCTGATAACTTAATAATGTACATTATTTAATTTTATATATGGTTTTGCCAATTATGTATAAAATCAACGGTCTTATACAATTATATAGGAGGAATTAAATTCTCTTAAGTCATACTGTCGATTACTGAATATCATAACACTAAAGAAAAACTAGTTTGTTTAAAAGCAATAATATTTCTGATTATTACAATAATATTACATTTAAAGCCACTTCTATTTTTTTTTGGATAAACTATGATATAAAGTAAATATTAAAAAACCTATGTGTTATATAACAATTGTATTTTCACATATAAAAATATATTTTTCCACAATATTTATTGAGGAACGATAAAATTATAAATGATAAATATATGAACAATTTACAATATTGTTATATATATGATGTATATGTATGTTTTATGTATTATATATGAAATGTATGTAGTTTGTATGTAAGAGTAGTTATGTTGATTTTCAAAGAATTTTTATTTATTATTACTTTTCTCAGATTCAAGTTATTTCTGAGAAAATTTCTTGTCATTTTTATTGATTAAACGAGGGGTAACAACAATTTTGTCCACCTGTGTATGTCTGTAGTTAGAAAAAATATACAAGTATTTATACAAGTATTTCAAAATTTTGGCCCAAAACTGACAGAAAAGAAATATCTGATCCTGGAACATTAGAGTGCTGCAAAGGTTCTACTCATAACAAAACCTTCTCACAGCAGTGGAAGTTTCTTTTATTCATTCATTCAAATTTACAAAAAACATAGGCTTAGAATGTTTCACTCTATATTTGCTCTTTATGATAAATGGGTACTTCATGGAATCAGTGATGAAACACACTATTTTCTTATAATATCCTCTATTCAATATTCTGTTATCTAGTTAATATGTATCAGTTTGAGGTAAAGAAAACATATGAAAAACTAATTTAAAGTACTATTATCTGTGCAGATTGAGCATTAAACAGCACCTAACGATGAGTTTAATTGTATTTAACATGTCTATATGTGATTAACTTATTAAATAATTCATTATGGGATAGCAGTTAACAGTTAAACACACATTAATTGTTTTTAAATTTTAAATCTAGCTTGGTTTTGCACCTTGAAAACATATTGAAGTAATATAACATGAATTTGATTTATAGAAAGGTTTGTCATATAGAATAAGCTGCTTCTTTCTCCTGATAGACTGTAGAGCAAGCTTTCCATGTTGGCTTCAAGGATGCCATCCAATTCCTTCAAAGCAATGGTGGGTTAAGTTAAAAATTCTTTAAACCTAAAATTATTAAAGTTTACTTCAGACTTTACAGATTCCTATGTTAGAGTATAAGCCTTGTCTTTCCCTTTATTTCAGATGTTGCCCTTGGTGTGAAAGGGCACAGTATAGCCCAACGGTCCTTGAACCATAACCCTGCCAATTCCAAGATGGATCTAAATACACCCAAAGTGGAAGAGCAGGAGATGAAAGAGGCTGAACAAACTGACCTGAAAACATCTTTAGAAGAATCTAGATCCATGCAAATGTTCAACTCCACCATGCAAGAACCCATCGAAGATCCTCTCCCCCATTTTGACATAATGAAAAATGGTAAGGCTGTAATCACCATCAACCAATATATATATATATATAGATAGATAGATAGATAGATAGATAGATAGATAGATAGATAGATAGATAGATAGATAGATAGATAGATAGTTCAGCATGTTTTCTAGTAGTTCTTTGTTTGTTTCCTTCACTTTTTCTGTATGTTTCCTCCACTTTCTCTTGCATCTCTACTAATATATGGATGCATGACATTAACAATTGGACAATTTAAAGTGCAAAAATCCATGTACCGTAGATTAAAAACACACAGTTTTACAATTATTACAAGCTTGGATATATAAAATATAACTCATAGATTATATTTTTTTCCCTTTTTAATGATAATAATAATATTAATATATAACAACAATAATGCATTTTATTTATCAGCACTTTTAATAAAACAAGTATAAAAAAACAAGTTTACAAGGTTTATAATTTGGAGGAGAAACTTGAAGTGGATATACATCTCATTTACAACCCTTGTAGATTACATGACCCAAGTGAAGAACAAATGCACAATGAAAAGTAGCAGATTCCCTCGCCCTCTGTTTGCAGACCCTCATTCTTCTCCAAGAATGTAATTCCTGGACTGTTTAAGATATTTTAAAAATCTAAAATGCACAGGACAGCAGAGAAAGAAACTTGCGACCCTACAGTTCTAATTACGGTCGCGGGTATGACTTCAGCAGCACTGTGATCATCCAATCACAGACTAGATTCAGTGGCACATCAGATCTTGAGCTTTTCAGGAGTGTCAGAGGTGACAGTCAATCACACAAGAAAAGTTGGAGGGCCAATCATAAGCTTGTGGGCGGTCTAAACTCACAGAAGTGGGCTCCCTTTGGTGGGGAATGTTGAACTATGCTTTGAGAAGGTTGCAAATCCCTGGTTCGATCCCCACAGCACTCTGGGTGCATGAGCAAGACCCTTAACCCCACTCTGCTCATCGGGCACCGCACAATGGCAGCTCACTGCTCCCCAAAGGGATGGGTTAAATGCAGAGAGTGAATTTTGTTGCCTAGTACTTGACAATGTTATGACAATTAAGTTGATTCTTTCTTTTCTTTCTTTTTCTACAGCTTGAGTGCGCTTTTGTGCTTGGTTCGAATGCTCGACGAGTGTCGGTATACTGTAGCGTAAAATTGTTTTTGCACAGTGAAAAGTGCAGGGGACGAAAAAAAAACTTTTGAAAAAGAGCAGGAGACATGTCCCCGGTGTAACAAAGACCTGCCCGTTGATCTTCTCGGTTGTTGAAGTCTTTAATGCTATGTGTAGATATGTTACGCCATTTGAAACATGATGACTATGCTTATGCAATTTTTTTGGAATGAGTTAAAGAATGGAATTGTAGGTTGATTGGAGGCAGAAATCCTAATCTTGCTCTCTGTTCAGTGAAGGCTTTCCCCTTTTAACAAAGATGGGCCCCTTTAAACCCCCTTTCAAACCATCTGTTGTTGGAGTATGCTGACTTAACTAATGTTCAGTTTGGGTAACCACATTTTTCTAGTTATTCCTTGACACGTTTGTTTTCTTTTTTATTTTACCTCTGCAATTTAGGAAATATTGTCAGCCTGGTCACACAGAATTCTAATTACAGTAGGTTTCTGACTTTTTTGTGGCTGTGTTTTCTTTTCTTTAAAAGCAGTTTCCATCACATCCGTCACCTGTTCTGTTTAAAGAGCCTCATGTGTTGGTTGGTTATGATCAGTGACTGCTTATTTTGGATTTATATATAGTGATAGTGTAACAGGAGTAAAATATTCGCAGACACACTTCTAAACGTCCAAGTTGTGGTGTTTTTTTAAACCCTTGGAGTCAAAACTGTTGCAAGATGTTTTGCAATATTGGGTGTAAATGAGTTACTCCTACTAACAATGGTCCTGAGGAACCCCTTCCTCGTGTATTTTTAGAAAGAAAATATATGAATAGGAGGAACTCCCCTGGATAAAGTTGGTAGTGATAGGTTTCTCTATATCCCGTTTTTGCTGATAGCCTTTTAGCTTCTTTTTGCAGATGTTTGCTGATCCCTTTTCATGGCATCTTAGGTTTTGCAGGTCATTAGTAGATTCATTATTTCTGATGATAGTCAGTTGTGTTGAGTACCATTGTACATCTTACCTGGATACACTTGAAGCCACACACGACATGGGGTCATCACTCTGTTCCTTTACTGCCCTCTGGTGGCCAGATATGCAACCTTTGTATGTATTTGAGCTGCTGTCTAGCTGTTAGAAGAAATGGTAATTAGTTGATAAGCAAAGCCCTTGGGTTTCCTTTATTCTCTTTGTTTTGCATAAAAAAACATGAGGTTCATATTTATTTTTTTAAATATTTCCTTATACTTCTGAGTGAAGGTTCAGTTAAGTTGAAGTCAGTTAGATCACCAATGCATTTCCCCTTAGTACTGTAGAATTGACAAGTCAGAGATGTCTGCATAATTTAGTTAATTAGGAGGCACAATGCTAATGTTTCGTTTTTTATTCAATATTATTTAACTTTAGAATGTTACTACTTTTACTGCAAGTAAGGAAATTTGAACTTCAATTTCTTTTTTATTAACTTTTGAAAGATAACAGGTCATTCTTATATTACCCTTTGTGTAAATAATAACTTTGATTAATCGACACTCAGCCCCTGAGCCTTTGACTTTCAGTGACAGTGGCCTGCTGGGGAAATAAACTGAATAGCCCTGTCCAACAGGCTTGAGAGAATGAATCAATATAGTTGAGAAGGAATAAGGGTGTGTAGGTGTTGTTCATCATCATTGTTCTTGGAAAACTTTAATAAGGGAATAGAAAATAATAAATAAATGAATGCCTGCTACTCCTTTATGAAAACTCACTTTCTCTCAAGGGTTGTTACTTCTTTATCCTTTCTTGGTTACTGCCTCTTCCCTCTAAATGAGCAGAGTGTGGATGATCCATCATTCAATGTAAACTGACAAGTAGAAATGATCCAGGGTCATCTTTGCATCTTTTATGCTAACTCCCCCATCAACAGCAGTTCATATATACAGTACAGGTAAAATGTGTAAAGTGACAGTGACACCTTATGTGACAGACTGCTGTACTCTAAATGCACCAGGGAGCATTATCACAGATTCTTCCTCCCAACCGCTGTAAGACTTTATAACCATCTATGTTTCCAACCTCAATGAATTCTACGGAGCCCCTCTTATGACATGGTAAAAAAAAATGTTTAATTGTGGCCACGAAGTAGTATTTCGCGGCCACGCAATAAGTATAACGTGCGCACGAAATACTACTTCGTGGCCACGCAATAAGTTTAACGTGCGCACGAAATACTATTTCGTGGCCACGCAATAAGTTTAACGTGCGCACGAAATACTTATTAATAATATCCATAAATCCGCCCTGTTTTCAGGCTTATGTTAACTGTAATGACTTATCTTGGACAGGCTGCTATGTAAACGGGCCTTTAGTCCTTCGTTTAGCTATGCTGCGGTTGTTTACACTACGCCTTTTCCAGCTAAAATAGCGTCTTAGCAACAAATGTCACGTGACTGACTGAGACCGACTGGGTAAGCAAATTGAGCGCGCCTTAGACCTTAGAGAAGGCGCGCTCGATTTGCTTACCCAGTTGTCCAGGAATGATGTTAATATTATTAATAAGTATTTGGTGCGCACGTTACACTTATTGCGTGGCCACGAAATAGTATTTCGTGCGCACGATAAACTTATTGCGTGGCCACGAAGTAGTATTTCGTGCGCACGTTATACTTATTGCGTGGCCACGAAATACTACTTTGTGCGCACGAAATACTACTTCGTGGCCACAATAAAAAAATTTTTTTTGACCATGTCATCAGAGGGGCTCCGTAGAATTCTTACATTCATGCTGATTATTGAACAGTTTGTCTTAGTCACTTAAATAAAATTCTGCTGTCATTTTGTCCACAGCTGTATATTGTTTTTTTTTCTCCAGATGCACAGTATTTAGTCTTTTTTTTTATTATTATTATTATTTTTTTTAATTCTTTCACATATTCCGTTATTTTTACATACTTTTTTTAAATTGCAGATTGGTGTGACCACTTTTGCTTTAATCTTTTGCTGCTGTAACACCATAATTTCCCCATGGTGGGACAATAAATATATTTTCTATTCTATTCTATTCTATTCTATTCTATTCTATTCTATTCTATTCTATTCTATTCTATTCTATTCTATTCTATTCTGTTCTATTCTATTCTATTCTATTCTATTCTATTCTATTCTATTCTATTCTATTCTATTCTATTCTAAAGCTTACAAGTTTGTCCCATTTCGGCATCTGTAATCATAGATGGTGAAGCAGCATGGCGTCTTCCTTTGGTTGCACTGCAAACTATATATTAATAAAAAAAATCATAAGCTATGAGGAGACTTGCAATTATTATGTGACTTTTGCAGAATATGTACTTGATGTATATAAAAGCAATACTTGATATTTGCTTATAAAACAAAACTCTAATTAGTTGTACACTGCCCCTTTAAATCTAACTGTATACAAACCATCATAATTATGTTTTCATATTTTTCTGTATTAAAGTGAGCTATTTGGATATTGTATTCTTCCACTGATTGTTTTGGGATTTTATGTGCATGTTTTATTTTTAAGACTGACATGCTTTCAGAAATATTAAGTAAACTTTTCCTAATTTTTGATGGTGATGGTTGATATTACATAGACATAAATTGTTACCATTGTTTTTTTGGTAAAGTTTATTATTTGATTTTATTAATGTAGTCTTTAAGATTTGATTCATGATCCTATTCATAAACTGAGTCCATTTACATTTCAGTTCTCATGGGAAATGTGACGACGTACCTGAGTATGTTTGGGTTACCAGTGAGGATCTTTTCCAATCTGCTTCTACCTTTGGTAGTGTCATTTTATGCCATGCTCCAAAGTAGACAAAGGTAATCAACACCATAACAACACAAAATACAGTTTGTTTTTGTTTGTTGTTTTTAAAACAGTAACAAAACACATTAAAAGAAATGGGGTCTGCAGCAAATCACCAAGAGTTACTGTCCACAAATAATTAAGCATGGAACAGCTGTAAATGTTCCTGGAAAGGCAGCTGGAATTGCTGCTAGACTTCCACAACAAAATTAACAAAAGACACACACAAAAAAGTCCAAAACCACTATAAAATGTGTTTCAGGCTTCCAAAGATTGCTTGAGTGCCCTAAAGATTTTGTGGACTGATAGGCAAAATTGCAACTTCTTTGGAAAGCGTGTCATAAATCTCTCACATCTGATAAAAAAAAAAAAATCAAGTACTGTAAAAAAAAAAAAAACAAAAAAAAACATTATCGATCTGTTTAATAAATTAGTATAACACTATAAAACGTTGTTTAGTGACTTCTTTTCCACAAATGAAGCGCATCATTAAACTCAGACGGGTGGTTTAAAGTCTTTTTAATTAAATTATGATGAATTAAATTAGGAGCTACCGTGTCAAAATCCAGACTTAGATTCTGATTAAGAACCTCTAAAATGACCCTAAACAGAATCATAATCAGCTTTATTTGCCAACTTTGTGCAGAGGAGCAATATATTGGACTTTTGTTTTAGCTTTGCTTGTAATGAACGATTTTAAAATACAAGAAGATAAGAAAAGTTTTAAATTATGCTTATAAACATAAATGATCAACCATGTATAGACCAGTCTCTTCTCAATTAATGCAATAAAACAGGACCACCATTGGTTTGCTTTTTTTGCTTTAATGGATGAAATCATCTTTTTAAAACAATGTTTTAGTGCATATATATGTATATATATATATATATATATATATATATATATATATATATATATATATATATATATATATATATATATATATATATATATATATATATATATTGTTGTATAGTAAATAATGTATATAATCGCAGAAGTTCTCTTGCTGGGTTTTTCAGTGATGCATTCGAAAATGAATCTAGTCATATTGTAGATTATAATGACATTCAACAATAACTCAAATCATTTTTCTCACATAGACTGAAGCTGCTGTTCAAAGAGGTCCCTCAGCTTGTTGTTTGGGGTTGGCATTTTACGAGACTTACTGGATTTTTCTTCATCAACATTTTGATCTATAGTCTCCAGAGGCTTATAAAAGACCGGTAAGAGTTTATTTACCTTAACCCGGGAATGCAGTTTGTTTAATAGGTATTTACTTATTTAACCAACAACTCAAGCCTTTTGTTTCACATAACACAATTCCATTTTGATTTTCACTGATTGAAAGGAACTGACTTTGTGTTTAGGTTAACACGCTTCTTCCTGCTGCTGCAATGGCTGAAGTTACAAACACAGTATGAAGTCCTATGAGGAGATAACAATCTTTCTTCTTCTGATTTACACTACTCAAAAAAGGAAACATCTAAGGAACACATTTATAACCAAAAATAAACCAGACAAGAAGCGGAAGTAAGAGGCAGTTAACAAGAAAACCCTAAAAGAAGAGTGGTTCTGCGGGTGGTATCCTTTCTGGCTAATGTTTTATACACTTTTGCATCTTGTCCATACATGGGGCTTGTGCTTATATCTCAGTACTATGCATGGCAGTTTACATTTGCCAGGGTACACCAAATTTGTAAAATTCACCAGTGGTACCATATGCTCTTCACAAATGAGAAAAGGTTCTACTATATACTATTCATACTAAGCACATATGACAGATGTGATATGTACTTTTTTTAGAATATTTATCTGCCTGCAACATCCCTCAGCATGATTATGGGTCATTAATGGTTTGTGGAGGCATTTCTCTGGAGGCCTATACTGCCCTAAATTTGCCAGCCAGAGGTACCCTGACTGCCATAAGCTACCAGACTTTAGCTACCTGTGGTTAAAGTGGGTCAGCAGTTCCTGCATTATGAAGGCATTGATGCTATAGACTGCCTGTAACCCAGATCTGAATCCAGTTGAGCACACCAAATATGTTATATGTTATTTCACTGAGGAATACCAAGTTGGACCACAGATTGTCCAGCAGTTTACTGATGCTTTAATCTAGGTCTAGGAAGAGATACCAGGAGAAAACCTGTAATGCATCTGGCCTTTAAGTAGTTGCCCAATTGAAAAAAAAAAAAAAAATACACATATATATATATATATATATATATATATATATATATATATATATATATATATATATATATATATATATATATATATATATATATATATATATATATAGAGAGAGAGAGAGAGAGAGAGAGAGAGAGAGAGAGAAATGTAGTTATATTACACATTTTTTCAAAATTTATAATGGTCAATGATAACATAGACCATCAGGTCCACACGGAATGTCTAATATCTGCCACAGGGGAAATGCATATGTGTTTTTGTTTTTTTGGGGTTCCCCACACTTGAATTAAGATTTGCAACTGAAATATTTAATTTATTGGGATCTAAGATGTGTTAGCGTTAGCGTTTCTTTTATTGTTTTAAGCAGTGTTCTTCCTGTATTCAAAAGATCAGCTGATGGAATCTTTGAAAATGCAAATTTTTTTTATCTCTAGGGTCTTCGTCTCAAAAAGATAACCTGCACAACTTGCTCAGTCAACTGAAATCTGAAGCCTGCATCTTAAGACTAATACTTTTTTTAATATGATGTTAGATGTGTTTATGTCTATCCAAATATTCTTTGAAAATAGATTAAGAGGTATTGTGTTTTATTGAATTAAAAGTATGCCTTTACTTTAATTTCATAATTTGCCAGAATTAAAACCACAAATGTCTTATTATATGATGTACCACTGTATCTTTCAATGTTCAGACCTGTACCTTATTCAATTATTAGAAACAAACAAATAAATAAATACATATATATATATATACACTTATCTATGTCTTGTAAATGTTTTCCTTTTTATTTATTTTGGGTTACATGCAGGATAGGAAAAAAAAAAAGAATGTCAGGTTGGGTGGAGGTTTGAGAGGACGACCCAAATGCAGAGACTGAAGCTGAAGGTGGTTTCTTGAAGATTTAAAAAAAGGCGGAAGCAAAAATACATAAACATAAATCAAAAAAATCCTGAAAACCAGGAATTCTAAGAAGAAGGGCAATGAAATGACAATGAACCAGCAAAAAGTAACTGAACAGAAGGTTGTATATATGGGAGACAGAAACATAGACCAGGCTAATCTACAGATTGGGAGCAGGTGTGGACAGAGGAATATAGAAGGGAGCTAGGGGAAAGTTGACTGACACAAGATTGCAACAGAGGGCAAACAAAAAATACATAAGAACTCAAATACAATCAAAAATAACTAGAATAACAGAAAATGGAAATAAAACTAAAACATAACCTAAACCACGACAAAGAAAAGAAGTGCACTTGCTTATATTTAAGTGTTTTAGGTAAGGATTAAGGATATAATTATTCACATCGTAACTGGCTGATGTTATATATTGTTTTTTCATCTTAGTATTTGTAATTGTCTGTCAGACCAGCAGTGGGTATAAAATAAACACAGCTGTGTGTGAATTTGGAATATGGAAGCAAGGATAGCAAGTACACTAGCCTCTAGCCCTAGGATGCTAATATTTCTATAGACCAGGGGTCTCAAACTGATTCCAGAAACTGGCTGCAGGTTTTCTTTCCAACCATGGCACACCAGACTTCATTCATCTCATCAAGTCATCATGTTCAGACTGGACTCACTTGATGAGATGACTGGAGTCTGGTGTGCTATTGCTTGGTTGTGAAAGAAAACCTGCAGCCACATGGCCCTTTCTGGAACCAGTTTGAGACCCCCTGCTCTAGACAATGAGTTATAAATATGGTGTTAGATTCCTGACAAACATCAGAAGAGCATATTAAGCAATCACAATAGCACACAGGCTGATTTGCTCTGAGTTATGCTGTAGGCATATGGCCAAAGAGACAGAGAGAGAGAGTAAAGAAGCACAAAGCTGGTCTAATTTAGCTGGCCACAAGCTCTGTAAGGATTAATATGCTCTGTTCGAATTTATGGGCTGTGTCCTCCGAAGGCTAGATTTGAAAGCCGATTGTGTTATAGCAGGGGCCCGAGGTCTGGTCGGATTCCAAGATTCCTCGTTATGTGGCCTACAAATGCGTCCTTCTTTTTGCCTGATTTGAAGGACGGGTCCGATGTATCCTCGCTATCCTTGGTTATCCCAGGATTGATTGCGAGACCAAGCAAGCTGGCTGCTCCGTGATCAGAGGAAATGGTACGTGGTGCCAAATAGTGGTGAATATTGGGAGTTCAGTTTAATATAATATAAGTATGCATAGTTCAATGAATAGTTCTGTCTAAAATGAATGAAAAATAGTTGTTTTAATGGTTATTTAGTCAGATATGTGGCAGGTAAAGTTTGGTTTATCTAAAGGGTTTTATCTGTTACTGTGCAAATGGGTTTGGCTGTAATTTAAGGACAGATACTAATATATCTGCTGTGTGGGAATTATAAATCTGATATGATTTTTATTTTTTTATTGCTGTTTTGAATTTGCTTAACTAAATATTTTTTGTTGTTGAAAATAAGAGATTTTGCTGATATATTTTTCATACATACATTGTTTAGATTTAATTATATCTTTCTACCCCTTTTATAGAATAGAAAATCTCTTTATTGTCACACAATGGGCAAATTTACAGCATCAGAAGGATTATTGAAAATGGTCACACAAATGTGGATTCACGAGTGAAGTCTTTGTTCACTTTACAATAATATATATATATATATATATATATATATATATATATATATATATATATATATATATATATATATATATATTTTTTTTTTTTTTTTTTTTTTAAGAAACAGTTTTGAAAAGTTCCGTATTCATTCTTTTCCTGCTGTTGCTGCCACTTTTTCATTTATGCCTGTTTTGTGTGTATTTCATTGCTGTTGTTAATATGCGCCACCAGGGGGTGCATGGAGGGGCTTTGTATGCAGATTAGAGATTAGTTTTCTAAGAAGAAGCAATTTCCAGAGAGAGCTGATGCATGTGTCGGTCACAGGTCGGTCACAAAGTTTAAGTAAAGCAAGAAAGAAGAAAACCAAGAATAATTCCACTCTATTCTGGTACTCAGCCAACGAGGTATTAAGTCTGTTTATTTGTGGCAGTCGTCATATTTGTTAATTGTCTTTATTTTTTGTAAGCTAATTATTGTATTGTTTGTGCCTTTTAGTTTTCACGGTGTGGTTTATGAGTCTGAACAAGCAAGATTCAATAAATCCATCTGTAGAGAAAGCCACTTGTGCCTGTCGTACCTGGGGGAATTACAGTGAAAACTCGGACTGATCTGCACGAGTGAAGGCGAGGCGGCGGCATGATCAAAGGAGCAGCAGTCTGGCCACAGCGTGATCAGCGCGTGCACTAAGCCGGGAGCGCGCACAGGACCGAAGCATGCGGTTTGAAGAGCAACACTTAAGATAAGGCCATAAGAAGTTTGGACATTCACAAGTTAAGGGACTGTTTGAAAAATATAAAGCAAGCTTATGGTTTACTAATCAAGCGGTGATCATTAGTAAAGTTTTTTGTTATCACTGGGTTTCTGTTAAGCCATAGTATAAGTTTAAAGACATTTGATAAAAAATTAAAATATATATATAATAATAATTTAAAGAAATAATAATAATAGTAAAAAAAAAAAAATAAAAATTAAAAGGAAAAAAAAATTTCACACATTTGATTTAAGAATCAGTTTATTTTATATCGTTTCATATTGGGACATTTGTAACATCAAGGTGAATTTTGTATTTCATTTGTAAGGTCAAGAACTTTTATTAGAACAATTTTGGGTTATATCTAAGTAAAGGAAATAATAAGTTATATTCTTATTACTGTATTGAGGTTAAGTGTTACATTTTGATTTTCTTCTACATATATATTTAACCGCCTTCAGAAAGAGGGTGACTTTAGTTAACATTAGACATTTTTCACTGATTAGTAACAAGATGTTGACATGACTGACCCAAATAAGCTGCCAGTAAGTACAAACTCTCAACATCATTCTGAAGAAAACGAATGTACTGATCAAAAACTAAGAAGAAGTGGGAGAGTTAAAACACTCACAGAAAAGGGAAAAGAAATGCAAAAAGAAAGGATCAAAGGACTCCAGCAAAGGTTTAACTATAATTATGAAAAATGGAGAGCACGTGCCAAATCATCTAAACTACCTCTCTCTCAATCAGATCCTTTAAGTAATGACATACTTGAAGATATTATAGGTGATGTTAGGGGTCTTTGTGCAGACGTCACAAAGGTTTATGAAGAGTTACGCAAGCTCACCCCACCAGATCAAGAGACACGTCGTAGAGTAGATCTATGTGTGGAGATCTCAGGTTTCCTTGTGAAAAGAGCAACCAACAGACTGGATGGAAAAGAGGAAGAAGAATAAGATTGGCCAGAATCAGGTTCCCTCTTTCAAACCATAAGTAGTAAGTCAGGCTCTTTTAACACAAATAAGAAATCTTCTGAACACTCAAACAGATCCTCTACAAAGCATCAAGAAGCTGCAGCAGAAGCAGCAGCAAGTCAGGCTGTTCTCAAAGTGTTACGAGAACAAGAAATTGAACAGCAAGAGATTGAAAGGCTTGAAGTTGAAGTCAGGAAAAAGGCAGTAGAGCAACAAGCATTGTTTAGACAAAGATGCTTGGAAAGAGAGGCAGAAGAAATCAGGTTAAGAATGCAGAGAGAAGCAGATGAAGCTAAGTTCAAGGCTCAACAAGAAGAAGAATATGCAGCTCTGCAGAGAACGCTTGATGAAAAGAAAAGAAAGGTACAGCTCCTGGAAAGGGTAATGGATCTTAAGGCAGCAGAAGCAAGGATGCAGGTTTATGACCAAATAAGTATAACAGATGAATGCAAAGTTGATGCTACAAATTTTAATTGGAAAGGTGAAGATGTTGAACATGTAAGGTTCCCATCTCAGCTTAAACAAGTCTTACCCCAAGCTGCAGCCACCTCAGTAAGTGATGGTACATCAGACCTTGTTAAAGCGCTGGCAAGTGCACTAAGTGCTAGTCGTATCCCTGTTCCTGAACCGGCTGTGTTTTCTGGGGATCCCTTAAGCTACAGTGACTGGAAACTGTCATTTCAAACACTGATAGATCA